ACACACAGAGTGCGCTCCCAAACTATCTGTGTTTTTTTTTTTTTTTCTTTTATTGTCTCCTCTCTCTCTCTCTCTCTCTCTCTCTCTCTCTCTCTCTCTCTCTCTCTCCTTCTTTTGGTGAAGAAGCTGACAATATAAGCGATGGTACGGTGAATCCAAATAAGGGAAATGAGACCCAATATGGTTTGCTTGGAATCAAAAGGGATGGAAATTCAATGCAAATTTGAAGGAAGAGAGAGAAAGTGATTCTATGCGAGTTTGCGAGTTGCGAATTGCGAATTGCTAGGCGGCCATATCAAAGGGTGTCACAAATGGATGAGAACATCTCTGAGTTGCCAACACCGAGGCATGATCTCCTGCGTCGCGTTTACGGAATGATTAATTTGCTAATTTTACTGGCCTCTCCTTTATTTTTTAAACACTAATTAATGTTTTATTTTCCCTTTTTCTATTAATAAATTAAAAAGTTTGGGTTTAATACGTGAGAAATATTTCTTTTTTGGTCAAATGTCTAATACGTGAGAATAAGTCGTAACTTTTCTGCCTCTTTTGGTTTGCTAAGATAACTTTCTCCCTTTGTATTTTTTTTGGGGGGTAACGTAGCATTTTTTCCCTCAAGATGGAAGGGTCCAACACGACAATAACATGCTTTGATTTTTCAAAGAGTTTATAGAATATCAAGACCTACATAAGCTCACTAGAGGTACACGCTGGTATAGCTCACTTTCTATTGTAATTTTATGCTCCGAATGGTCAATCTTCTAGGTCTTTCCTTAAAGATCATTTATGCAATTATAATATTTTGGAACCTCGTGTTTGTCTATTTTCTTGTTAAAAGTCTTAATATTTTTAATATTTTTTTTTTTTTGCAATGATGATATTTGAATAAAGACTTAAAAATAGACGATTCGGATTGTTGAAGTTCAATGTCTAAAGTCTAATAGACCTCGTAACGGATCCATCAAATAATAGGAGGGACTATATAAAACAAAGATATATCAACCATTAACTAAGTAATTTTTTTATGGGAGCTCATTTTCCCACTATCCACTTACACTCCCTTTGTTGAAAATTGTACATTCCCACTTATTTTTTGCCCACTTGCACTCCCTTGTTGGAAATTATATGTTCTAGTAAAAGTTTAAAAATAAAAATAAAAAGGAGTGTAAGTGGACAAAAGAAGAGTGGGAAAATCAACACCTGTTTTTATTTATTTAAAAATAAATAAATTGCCATCACCCAAACAGAAAGTACAAAAATAACTTTTGGGTTCGGTATAATTGTTGCAAATTCTAAAAATACTTATTTAATTTTTATATAAAAAAATTTCCAAAAATAAAAAACTTTAAAAAGAAAAGAATGCTTGCCGACAATAGCTTGATGTATTTATCCATTGATTGCACCATGAAAAGTATCTAAATCTGTATTTTGCATCCGGAAAGACATACTAGGTACAATGAATTTTAAGGTACAGTTTTGCATCAATTTAACACACGTAAAAACATATTGAAAATGTTATTGGATGCAGACTTCACTTGTATTCTTGTGGAGTCACATGCTTTGGTTATTATTTGTCAACAGAGAAGAAGAAGAGAGGAGGACTTTGCATCAGAGATGACAATCTCAAAGCCATGGTTGGAGTGAACTGTGAATCTCATATTACTTACAAGCAGTGTCCTTTTAGTTTTTTCTTTTCTTTTCTTCCAATTATTAGTCCTTTTAGTTGACTTAATCCGTTTTTTTCTTTCTTAATCACTGTCACTATGTTGATAATAATTTGACTAATCTTCTAAAAGTCCTCCTAATGCTTGAACTCTTGCCTAATTTCAGCTCCAATCTATTCCACTTCAGCAATTAAAAAATATTAATAATAAAACAAATGCAAATAACGTCTTTGAACAATATCCGTGTGTTTTGGTCAACAGAGACGTACAAGGGCGACTTGCGGGGTGGATCGGCGTTGGCGATGGAGGCTGAGGCCATTCGAGAAGCAATGATGATGGCCTGCGTTCACTGTGGTTTGTGCAAGCTAGAGGTTGAATCTGATTCTTTACAAATTAGTCGTATGCTTTATGGGGAGTGGAAGATTGATATTGCTGTGGAAACCATTATTTTTGACATATAAAGCAACTGGTGGAGCAATTTGAGCATTGTGTTTTTTACTCCTAGTGATTGTAACAAAGCATCGCATAAAATTGCGGCCTTTGTGTCCAGAATTGGCGGTATCCGTACTTGGAATGAATTATGGCTTGAGTGGATTTTTGGTAAAATCTTCTCCAGTGACCAAACGCAACAACACGTTGAATTAATATAAAGAGAATCACGCACAACCCAAAAATGACTAAATATCATAACTATTTATTTTTTTGTCAATGAGGATTATGTTTTGTTCTTTATGCAAATGACCCATAAATTTCACTATAATTTACATGATTTAAGATATAATGCACATTTTGGGAAGAAAAAAACTGACACTGAGAAAAATAGTTGCATAAAATAGCCCAACCCGATAAGCATAACAAAAGGGATCATAGCTTTATAGAAGCTACAAATATTTTATATATTATTTGCGCAAATGTATCCAAATTGCTATGATCCGAAGTATGGAAGCAATGTGGATACTAGAATCTCTTTGGGATGATCCGAAGTATTTAGACATGCATTTTCGATAATGCTTTGGCTTTTGGGTATGAAGTTGATGGAGATCACTAACACTAAGAACGTAATTAATTTTAATTAAAAAATCATTTTATCCAATTAAAAGAATGATAATTAAATAATACAAGATTTTACACGTCACCAACCACACGTGTCTCTCTCTTGTTATTCTGCTTTCATATCTATTGGAGGAATAAAAATAATAAAATGACAATGGATTCCAGGCATGATTATGGCCAGATAAGATGCTACACTATGTGACGTGTAAAATCTAATAGTTCGCATTTTCCTAAGCTTGTATAGGCAGACCAAAATATATGATGAGTTGTTCAAAAAAAGTAAAGAGCATCCTATTGGATAATTGCCATGCATCCCTTCTTCACCAAGAAAAGCCGCCAAGGTGCTCTAATTTATCAATGGCTGATAATTTCAGCAACTGGACCTTGTCCATTATGTGATTGCAAGTAAGAAAAATAAAAAAGAGAGAAGGGGGTAACGATATTCTAAACTACTGTAATGTATGTGAAGGGCGATCAAATTCGGGTGTAATTGGGGACGAGCATAATATTTTGGCCAACTAGTCTAACTCGTGTATGTCGACACAAACATCATTTAAGAAGGCATTGTGAATAACATCATGAAACATACACAAACATACATACTAAATTTTAAATTATTCAAACTATATTAAAACCTCTAGCTATTATCTCGTCTAATAAATCTATAAATAAGAAATTGAAATTAGATCCATCTACTTTTTGGTCCTTATGTCTAAAAAAACAAAACCTCTAAATACTAAATCCTTAATTCAAAACACTTGTAATCCCAAAATGACATCGTTTAAACATAAAGCACACTATAAGTAATTGGTTATTTGGAAAAGGAAGTAGAAGTGTTAATTAGCTAAAGATATAGAGAGGTGAGATTAGAGATACATAACAACAATATCATGGTTTTTTTTAAAAGAAAAAAGTTTTACAAAGAAAATACGCAGCAGATCTAATGACCATACAAATCAAAATTAATTCTATAATTAATATTTGGAAGGAAAAAGTTTTACAAAGAAGATCCGCACTAGAGCAGATATGACCATACAAATCAAAGTTAATTCTATAGCTAATATCCACAGGAAGATGATAAAACCAAATAGAAGTATTATTAGTAGAATGTCCCTTCCTAATCAAGGAATTTGCTACCATATTAGCTTCTCGATAGATATGCTGAAAACAACATATCATGTAGATTATTCTATTTTTATATATAAAAGAATATTATATAACTTTAGTAAAGTTTATTGGATGGAAGTGGTAGTAGGAAGGGACTAAGGAATATTTGACAATGCAGGTTCGTTGTTCGTACTGTACAAATTTGGACGAAAAATTGACAAAGCTAACGCAGTAGGTTTTTCTTGTTTTTAATTTTCTATTTATGATAATTTGTTTCATGCATTTGTGGAGTAGGAATGCACTTGATGAGTTGATTCGATTCTTGTAAATAGGTATGTTATCAGTTGTATCGATCATTGTTTATCAGTTCATATGAGATATTCTAATAGGAATTTGATTCAAGGATTGCTTTCAGACATCGAATTTGCTAGATGGGACACATGTACGCTGTAACACATTTAAATGGTAAACTCTAAACCCAATCAATTGGTATATAAACACTAATGACGAGGCTTTTATATTGGCATGGTTGATTTGTGATTAGATTCATAATTATTCGTGATCAAACTCATCAATTAAGCTGTTTTTGCCCAACATATATAGAGATAAATATGTAACTTAATCAAAATTTCCAGCCAGCTTTGCATCATATGTAGGCAGCAAAGCATTATAGCTTTTTATTTATCAGTACATAAAAACATAAATATGGAAGCAACAACCCTTTACTCTGACCTGACAATTTCTTCTTTCATGGCCAGGGAGAGAGCACTAAGATAGCCTCCACTCTCCACTCTCACCCCTGGCATGGCTATTGCTCTGCTCCCTACAAAACCACCTTCCCCTATACTTATCTTTCCAAACTTAACTTTTCCTTCATCACCTTCATATATGTGCCCAAACAAAAGAGCATCTCTTCCCACACATCCACCTCTCTCAATCTCCACCATTTCTGGGTTCAAAAGTGCTCCCATGCTGTCTACATAAGCTCCTTGGTCCAGCTCAATCTCTGAACCCATTAGCTTCATCCACAGTACAAAGAAAATGGACCCACTTGTCATTTCCATGAAGTAGCTTCCAACTAGAGTTCTGAAGGCCTGCCATGTAGTGTCCAAAAACACCCCTATGCTCCAAATGTGCACAGCTTCACCTTCTTTCTTCTTTCCTACCAATAACCATTTAGCCACCACACAAGCTAAACCAGCCAAACAACCTGAAGAAACCCAAAACAATGGAAACAACAAATGCAGAGGGAGTTTTTGAGCATCCTTCAAGTAAAGAGTCCAGTTCAGAGGAGCATAGATTACTAGCCCCAGCAGGAAATGAGGTAGCACGGTCTGCAGTAAAGGTTGAGCAAAAGTGGCCCACAGAGTCTGAAACAATGCTCTTTCCAGGGTCACTTTATGTGTGTCGTTTATCTTCAATGCTGCTGCCATTGGACAACCAGAAAGGTCTACTTTAACATCAGACTGCTGTAGGAAGATCTTCCAAGCCTCCGGAAGGGGTTCACCATTCCTCAGGTGCTGGCATATCTCATAGATCAATGAACGTCCATGATCAATTGAAGCACTCTGGGAGCATGATGAAGCCCGGATGACACCCACTTCATGGCATTGAAGAAAAGGATTAAAGTCCAGCTGTTCTGATTCTTCTGCAGATAGCATCTGGTTGATGTTAATCTCTCCAACATCAATATATGGGAACTCAGCATCATTCCATGGTTTTGTGCAGTCAAGTGCAATGTCACGGGCACTTTCATCATGTGGAACTGGCCGGACTTGTAACTGGAAAACATAACGAACACCACCTTGGTCATTTACACGGCTTTTGAAATCTTTTGCAAGGAAAAGTAGCGGGCGAGTATCCTTATCATCCCTCGGAATTGCACCTGTATCAGGTGGAAGAATCCCAATGGGCTCTACCTTACCAGCTTCCTCACTAATATTCTCATCAGAAGGCCTCAACTTGAATTTTACATACATTTCTTGTCCATCTGTGAACCGGAACAGCCTGCATATATTTGAGTAGTAATGCAGCTCAGCATATGAGTTTGCATGGCGCAGGGATGTCCATACTGCATCACGCACATGCGGGGCTCGCTTAACATACTCCTCCCTTGCAGCAAGCCCACAGACTAGCCATGTTGCAAAATCTGCAATTGTGCGGGCATAGAATGCCTTTCCTGTCTTCAGTGTCAGGTCAAACAGTGCAGAGTTATTAGTTTCGTCTGAAAGTATTCGTATAGCTGCACCACGTGCATCAATCCTTGCATCATCATCAGCGCTCAAGCTATTGCTGTGCCGGATTATGACAGGGTAGCTCTTTCCAGGGCAGAAGATCTTGTGGTCTGGCAAGCCTTTGATGTTGTCATAAATCTTCAAGTATCCCTTCCCACTAACACCAATTCGATGGAAATATCTTGACTTAACCTTCAGAGTTGTGGCAGCCAAATTTGCCGCAAGATTACCAACTATTTTCTTATATTTTATGTCCATCTCTTCTATTCTGTCATCCAACGAATGCATGGTGTTCTTGATCATGATTGGAGTTTGAGATCCAATGTAAACACCACCTGCTTGGAGCACTGAATTCACTGGTGCAACTGAAAGTGCACCAAGAATAACATCTTGCTGAATAACTGAACCAGGAAGGACTACGCTTTCACTCCCAACTACTGAATTATCCTGCACCTCAATTTTCCCACTAATAAACCCATTAAAGGAATAAAAACCAGCAATAATCCGACTGAAATCACCAAGATGGACACCAGAACCGAGTGAAATCAATTTTGGGTCTGAAATTGGATTGATGGCCCTGATAGAACAATGTTTCCCAACCTTTGCACCCAGAAGCCGCAAGTACATGCAGAAGGCTTCTGTTCCAGACAGGAGCTTAGCAAATCTAAGGTGGCAGGCAATGGTGATTCGGTGGCATAGCCAAGTTCTGAAATGGGATGTCTTTTTCTCTTGTTTACTAGAAATAAAATGGGTCAAAGCACTTGTGAGGAAGCTGAGTACTAGGCCATAAGATAAATAAGCAACCGCTATCGAGATGGATAAGTAAATTATGTTTGATGGCACATCAGAAAACATGATGGCATATGCTATGATGGTGTAAGGCATCCAGTGAAAGGCCCCAAATATGCAAGAAAATGCAAATTCTTGAGGGGAAAGAGGCTTTTGAGACATCCAAATGTAGACTAAGTACACAACAGAAGCTGAGAGAGTACCGAGCAACCCAACTATGTAGATGCCTATGAACTGGTAAATAGCCTCATCTTGAGTTTCCATTGTAACATTTGACAGCATTTTACCCTGAAATCATGTAAAGAAAACAATTGAGTTGATATCAGTTCTAAGTTTGATTGCATGAAAACGCATTTGGAAATTGATAAAAATAAACTGGACGGAACTTTTGTATGTCAAATATGTACATACCAACATAAGCAACTCCATAGGTGACAAGTCAACCCAGAAAAAAAGAAAAAAAAGAAAAAAAAAAGAGGCTAAACTATCTAGAATTGAAATTATTTAAAAATTTAATCTTCTATTGGTCCATTTCAAATTTCAAAGAGTACCTATGTTATGTTGGATATATAAACGCTAATGCCTAGTAGTGGATCGCGTGTTTAGACATTTATTTAAAGAAGAAGTTTCTCATTATGAAAGAAAAAGTCTCTGAAGATATTGGAGTGTATAATACATGCAGCTAAATGTAAAATAAAAGAAGGAAATAACCCACGAGCCTTAACCCAGTTTGCATGGTTGGGATAGGGTAAAGGGTAGAACCTGGGTTTGATGTCTCCTTGTAACAAAAACTAAAACTAAAACTGAAGATTGTTGACAAGGTTCCATGAGTCTTTGCAATTTCAAAACAATCATGATTTTAGAAAAAAATAACTTAGCATTCATTATGGTTGGATTAGAATGCAAACGAAATGGCACTTACATTCTGAAGATTTTTAGCCTTGACAGCAGATTTGCTTCCACATTTTTGTAAGGCCATTACCTCATCCTCTTCTCCCAAAATAGTTCCCTTTTGGACAACTGAGTAGGGGCCAACTGATGAGTTTTGTCCAATTCTTATTGGGAGGAAGCTTAAGACCCCATTCTTCACTTCATGACTTTGAATCAAAGCCCCTTCTGCGATCACAGCTCCATCTCCAATTGAAACCAGAGATGGGTCTGTTATGTCAACTGTATCAAGCAAAACTAAGGATCCAATCCTAGCTCCAAGCATCTCAAACCAATACTTGAGGAACACAGTTCCTCGCAGATGCTCCGCCATAACTTTGGAAGCAACTTCGTGGGCCTTGTAAAGAGCCCACCACTTAACAAAATCCATTGACCAGATGGAAACTTCAGGGTTCAGGGCATAGTTTGGCTTTAAGAAAGAATTCCCCAAGAAAGCTATTGAAACACAGGTAGAAAGTATGCAAAAGATCCAAGCAAGGGGAGCAAAAGTGAGAAGGGTCAAATAATCTAAATAGGGAATTCCTTCTACCAACGTATGGGTAGCTGAGACACAACTCATAAAAGCAGAAACTGATAAATATGCAGGAATGGACAGCATAAGAGCAACATAAATAAGAGCCAGAAGTTGGAATAACGAGATAACCAAGTGATGAGTCTCAGGAATTTCCATCACAAGCTCAGCAGAATCAATCCCAGTATCAGGCTGTGGAACATTGGATGGTGTTGTTAACAGTTGAGGTTGAGAATTCATTACCAGATTCTCCGAGAAGCTTGCTAAGTCAGCAATGCAGGTTGCAGTGAAAATATCCACAGCTCCTACTGGTACGCCAAGAAAGTCAGAAAGTTTTTGAGCTGCTCTGACCACACCAATTGAGTCAATTCCATAAGATACTAGACTTTCAGTGTTAGAGATCTTGTTGATCGAAATACCGGTCTGCTCGGAAACTAGGCGTTTCAAGAAGTCTACAATTTCTTTATTACTTAACTTGGGGCTTGGTGGAGGAGAACTTCTCACAAGTTGAGGACGAGGGGTTATTCCTTCCTTGCATGTTCCTGTAGTGAAGGACCGAAGCAGTCTTCTCTGAGTTATAATTGGTTCTGGTACGACATTCAATGTTCCATCAGTAAACTGTTGGAGGCATTCAAATCTTTTGATTTTTCCTGACGTTGTTTTACTAATGGTTTTTGGCCTGATAATCTTGACAGAAGCAACACTAACCCCATGCTCTTCTGCAACACGAGCTTGAATTTGTTCAACTACATCCTTGCCAACAGGTTTACCGTCCCTAACCTCCGCAATTACAACCAAACCAACCTGGTCAGAGCTGTCTGAAACTGTAATACCTTTTGTTGATAGGATTTCCACCGGAACAGGAATGACAGCACAACATCCAGGGCGTACAAGTTCTGATGCACTCTCCACTGTCTTCTCTACATCTGCTGAGTAAATGTTCCTTCCTGCTACAATGATAAGATCCTTGATTCTTCCAGTGATGAACAGTTTTCTGTCAATTACTCGTCCCAAGTCCCCAGTTCTAGTGTAGTTACGTCCAGGATGGTCAGGAAGCTTGTTTCTGTAAGTTTTCTGGCTCAGTTCTTCCCTTCCCCAGTAACCAATTCCAGCGCTGGGACTGCTGATCCAGATCTCTCCTTCCTTTCCTGCTTCTTTGAGCTCCTCACCACTCTCTGGATCAACTATTCTAATGTTAACATCTTCATCATCTGGATTCACATACCCACAACAAACTCTTCCTTGCCAATCTACCATGATAGGCTTCCCTTCACCATACGCACAACTGACAAACACACAATTTTCTGCCAATCCATAACCAGGTGCCATCACCTCTTGAGATAAACCAAAAGGATGAGTGAGCTCGACAAATCTTTTCACAGATGGAAGAAAGGTCAAATTTTCTTTTCTTGTCAGACTCCAGCCTTCGAACTACTAGCTCGAAGGCAAAATTGGGGCCAGCACTGTGAGTGGCCTGATATTTGCTCATGATTTGGAGCCACAACAATGGATTCCTGATGAATGTCAATGGGGAAAACAAAATTGCAGTTCCACCACTAACAAGAGCTGTGAAAAGCCCTCCGATCAGCCCCATGTCATGGTATTGAGGGAGCCAGCTTACTAGAACTGTCTTTGACGTGCTCTTGTATCTCTTTCGCATTAACTTAACATTATGAATGAGCCCACCGTGAGTTATCATGACTCCTTTAGCATCGCCAGTCGAACCTGATGTGAATTGCAGAAAACATACATCATCTCCCTGTGGTTCAAATTCATCTGCTATACCATCCACAACCACGTTTTTGGAGTTCTTAATCCAAGAATCTGTATGTAACCAAGGAAGATTGGGCCACCGAGCTTTGGATTTCTGATTTTTACCAGTCAATGAGATCATATTTTTAACTGAACCTGCCTGGACTGCCCAGTGATAACTAATGGTAGAAAGAATTGCCACTGCACCACATGATTTAGCAATGTTTTCAATCTTCAAAAGTGCTTGACCACCTCTTTGTAAAGGATCTGGAGGTAGAACTGGGACTGGTAAGACTTTAGCTCTTAAGCATCCAAAGAAGGCATCCACAAAGTCCAGGCCTGGGACATGGACCAGGAGAACCCTGTCGCCAGGCTTGATTACTGGTTTCCGGCATGTCAAGAGCATTTGGGCAATGCAAGAAGCATTGGCATGAAGTTCTGCATAAGTTCTCTGGCTCACCACTTCCCCTTCTTCACTAATCCAAGTATAAAGTAACTTGTTTTGAATGACTCTGTGAGCTCCCCAGTGCTTCAGATAGCCATCAAGGGAAGGCAGATTAGGGAACTCCACTCCTGGTAATTCGGCCATGCTTTTAGGGCTTCCTCCCCACTGTTGTTGCAAGGCAAACAAACTCTGCAAAGAGACATGTTTATACTATGTAAAGACCTTTTCACTAACTTTGCATTTTCTATCATTCAATTTCAATTGAGTATTCATAAAATTCAATACTTTGATGTTGGGTTACCTTAGCATAAGGAAAGTTTGGCATGGAATTGTCATTTGCAAAGTGTTTGCAGACTAAACCCATAGCATATGATGAATTTCTCTCCGTTAATTCAAAAGCCATAAGCCCACCTACATAGTAAGTGTTCTTGAAGCTTTGAAGTTGAGATTCCAATTTCTCATAGAAACCATCCATCATCTCTGTATTCAAATATTTAAAATTAGCATCCCTAATTGGCAGGGGTTAATGATGTAAAAGCAAATCATCGGCGTACCTTGGCTGCCAACGTGAGGAAAATACTTAAATCGTCGTTGGAGGACCACCTCCTTAACTTCACCCCCTATAAGTTTTGCAGCATCAATTGCAAGCTTTGTCACAGTTGGTCCCGTAATATTGACAGAATTTCCATAAGACCAGAATAAGAAAATATCAGTGTCAGCAAAGAATCTCTGCATGGCAACTGGATGTCCAATTGTTGCAGGATTGCTTATATATTCATCAAAGTAGTAGAAACCCATCGGCATGTGTTCTATCCCTTTAATCTTAAGAACAGTAGTGTAGTAGTCAATTGTCTGTACTTTACTGAACAACTCCTTCTCAACATCACCCATCTCCATTACTTCACTTTCATGTTCTGCAACGACAAATCCTTGTTAGGCATCTCAACAAGACAAAAAGGAAAAATAATGATAATAAAGAAACAAACAAACAGGGAGGTGGAGTAATGAACAAACCTGCAGGATGTGAAGGTAGTGATCTGTAAGTTCTTCCATTTTTTAAAGGAAAGGAACCAGAAATGATGATTTTATCAAACTCCATAACTTTAACTTCTCCATTACAACTTTTTACATCAACACTGACACAATCAGAATGGCGTCTGATCTCTAACACTTCAGTGTTGCAGTGAACTGTTGGGAGTGATTCACTGATCTTCTTCCAAAGACTTGTATATCCACCTTTGAAACGGCGAATTTTCCCAGCCATGGAAGTTCGTGTGAACTCATGAATGTAGGCATAAGGCATGTCTTG